GCAATTCTGAGAAATAAAGTCGCAATTGTGAGATATAAAGTAGCAATTCTGAGAAATAGTCACAATTGTGAGATATAAAGTAGCAATTCTGAGAAATAAAGTCGCAATTGTGAGATATAAAGTAGCAATTCTGAGAAATAAAGTCGCAGTTGCGAGATATAAAGTTGCAATTCTGAGAAATAAAGTAGCAATTCTGAGAAATAAAGTCGCAATTGTGAGATATAAAGTAGCAATTCTGAGAAATAGTCACAATTGCGAGATATAAAGTAGCAATTATGAGAAATAAAGTCGCTATTGCGAGATATAAAGTCGCAATTATGAGATATAAAGTAGCAATTCTGAGAAATAGTCACAATTGTGAGATATAAAGTAGCAATTCTGAGAAATAGTCACAATTGCGAGATATAAAGTAGCAATTATGAGAAATAAAGTCGCAATTGCGAGAAAAAAAGACAGAATTGCGAACATCTCGAAATTCTGACATCTTTTCTCAGAATTGTGAGATATAAACTCGCAATTGCGAGTTATCAGGCCAATTGACTTTATCCACAGCTGCACTACTTCCTGAACTTAAGTCAGCTCCTTCATTTCCTGTCTTACATTATTGGACACACTGATTAATCCAGGTGTGCCTGACCTCAGTAGTCATAGCAACAATAATCAGACACACCTGGATTAGTCAGTGTGTCCAATAATGTAAGACAGGAAATGAAGGAGCTGACTTAAGTTCAGGAAGTAGTGCAGCTGTGGATAAAGTCAATTCTAAGGGGGGAAAAAGACTAACTTTTCCCACCTTAGAATAGTTTATATCTCACAATTCTGACTTTATAACACTATTGAGAGTTCATATCTCACAATTCTGACTTTACAACACGCAATTTCGACTTTATATCAATCAATTCTGACTTTATATCTCACAATTCTGACTTTATAACACGCAATTGCGACTTTATATCACGCAATTCTGAGAAATAAAGTCAGAATTGCGAGATGTAAACTCGCAATTGTGAGAAAAAAAGGCAGAATTGTGAGATAAAAAGTCGCAATTGCGTGTTATAAAGTCAGAATTGTGAGATAAAAAGTCGCAATTGCGTGTTATAAAGTCAGAATTGTGAGATAAAAAGTCGCAATTACCTTTTTTATTTTTCATTCTGTGGCGGAAACAAGCTTCCATAGTTCTGCGCATGATCTACTGATTAGTGGTTAGTAAATCTGGCCCTAAATAAAGTTAACTAAAAAGTGTTGGTAAGAACAACTGTTGAATTTTACAGTGTAGTATGAGGGCTGTGAAAAGTGAGTATTGTTGTCAAATGGTCATTTTCAGTATTGTGTTTCAACCAGATGACACTTTCTTAACAGCAGCAAAATGTGATGTTGTTGACAGTACATGATTGATTAGCATGTATGTCAAGCAAGTGCATTAATTTTTAACAAATGAATATTTACTGTTAAATGTTAAGTTTGAACTTTTAACTTTACTTGGGTTAATTAAACACACACGGTGGAAAATGAAAGTCACTATCTGAATGTGATTCATCAGTTCAAGTCTCAAATCCTGCAGGATCTTTTCTAACAATTATTTTCCTTTATAAATGCTCAAACCTTAATGCATGAAGTCAGCACAGATGTAAATACTCACATTAATCAACAACATGATCCACTAATTAACCACAAACAAACAAAATACTGAAAGGGAACATTATTACATAAATCAATTAAAAAGTAACCCACTTTACTCGTGTTTTAGAGATCAAGCCATAATTACAAAGAAAGAAACTCAAATAATGAAAGACTGTGCATAAACACAATAACTAGATGCACATTAATAATAAATCCATGTATTAGACTTCAGTGTTTCAGTCATTTGAAGAGCATGTGGATTTACCTGTTCTGCTCTTGAGCTTGTGTAAGTAAAGGAGAGTCTCAGTCTGAGTTTGAGGAAAGCATCAGCTGTGTCCGAGACGCTCACTGGACTGATGTTTATTAGGATAAAGAGAGAGAGAGAGAGGTGTGTGAAAATGCATCTTGTTTCTTGGAAATGCAGCACCAACACATTTCTTAAAATATGAGTGGTATCGTGTCTAATTATAATGTGGATGGTTTAAAGGCATCTGTGCACTTCACACTAAACAAGATGAGCTCTTCACACTTAAACCATTAACACTTGATGAGTGTGTTTAACTAGACAGACAGAGTCAAAGTGCATGAGTACCAAAAGAAAAAAACAACACACAAAAGTCATGTACAATAGTCTTACCGAGACATTTCTTTTGGTGCTCAGAGTTAGTAACAGGAAAGTTGCAGGTTTGATCTCCTGATCGTCCTCGAAACAGGACAACTGGTGTTTTTAAAGATCAATCTCCTCAAATACCTTTTTAACTTTTGATTATGCACTTTTACAAGACATATTATAAAATACTTTTGTATTGATGCTTCATAATCATCAACATGCTACAGGAAAGTGTTTTTATAAAATCAAGGTTTTTTGAGGTTTGATCTGAACATTTTGTTGAAGAAAACTCTGATATTGATGAAAGTATTGAAATTAGTTCAAAATGGTGTCAAGGCGTAAAGTATTCTTAGAAATATATGGAGAGAAGAATCATGAATTCAAGGACAAGTTATTTCAAGTTATTCAATAATACTGTTGAAAGTGATCTGTCCCCAACTAAGCAAGCCACCCACAGGCGACAGTGGCATGAACTAGTGTTGTTTTTGGCGGCCTGTTTTAATTTTAGTTTTAGTCTAGTCTTTGTGTCAAGCTGTCATTTTAGTTTTTATTAGTTTTAGTCACATTCATACTCTTTTTAGTCTAGTCTAGTTTTAGTCGACGAAAGACTTTTAGTCAATGAAAATTGTATTTTAGTCTCTTTTTAGTATTATATTTAACCCAGCCAATATAGTATAAGTACATTTAGTATAGATGAAACCAAAATTTTATTTTAGCCAAACCCATTTCAAACAATCTTATCTTCTGTTATCATTATATTATTGTTACGTTATAGACTCAATAATGCATCCATTCCAGTCACTGAAAATGCTCTGATTTGAATTTACAACATATTTATTTTACCAACCAATGTTAGAAGTAGCCTACACACATGATGAAATGAAAGTTTTTCCAAATGTCATTTCTTCTTTTTCTCCCAAAGACGAATCCCTTTATCTGTGTCAGACTTAACTTTGTTGTTGTCGTTTATGCTAATGCCTGTTTCACACATAGGCTACTCCGTATATTTTCCCGCACCCATTAGTCCAGGCAAAGTAACTCATTTTGGAGCCAAAAATAGAACTAATTGTAAAATAATTTTTTGCTGCATAGATCATTTCTATAAGGTGTCCAGAACAACATACTAAAAGTCCTAAGAAATCCTAGTTGAGGAAATATGTTTAATTCTCATTAATCCGAGATTTGTGCCAATAAGGCCAGACAACATACACCCCAATGGGGCCATTTTTTTCCTTTACTCCTATCAAAATGAAACTTTATACAATGAAAGTCTACAAGAACAGTAAAACATTTTGTATTAGAAGTTTCTTTGAAAATGAATTTGAATATGCAAATGAGCAATATACTAATCGAATATGCCCAAAATACACCCTAATGGGCTTATTCTTTCCTTTACTCATATCACAGTCCAACCTCACACAGTGAAAGTATACATGAAAAGTAAAATTTTTGTTTTACAAGTTAGTATCTTGTAAAACAAAAATGTATGTAGTTAGTTTTTGGAAAAATCTATTTTAAATATGCAAATGAGCTCAACACTATGGCTTCTTGGCCATAAGTCAATTAGGCCTAAAGTCACAAGTAGAAAAAACAGGGGCCAAATAACTAGCACATTCATGTCCGTTCAGTAAGTTAACCTATGCAAATACAGGCGATTCTGTGATAAATATTCTAGGTATTATCAACTGGCCGGAGTTTTGAGAAAGTGGGTGATGGTTTCAAGAAATGTTTTAGCAATTCAAACTTAAAAAAAAAAAACTGTAAACCTTTTAGCAAGCTCCTCCCCCTAGTGGGTGGTGTCATGTTTCATATTACACAATTTACTGCAGCAGTATTTTATAATCAAATCTTTTTCTAATCTTGACAAAATGCATATCATTGAGAAGGTTTCATGATAGAAGTGATATAGTGACGAGAATCACACGTGGTTTGGCACTGCGAGGGCAATCAGTTGTCCTTCGTTCTCAGGCGTCCTGCGTTACGGACACTGCAGTTCAGTTCTCGGTTCACATCTGCAGTGCTGATGCAGGACTACGGCATGTTCAGCCGTGATCAGGAACCAGATCAGTAGAAAGATTTCTTTAATGGCCTAAGTTACTGTAACTGAGGTTTCACCTGCACACCGTATGAAAGTTACACCACTAGAGGAATGCTCTTATCACCCCTATTCCGTCACTCCCATTGGCATCAACATTAAAATAGCAGGACTACGTAACATTTCAATAAAGTCGATTATATATGAAATTTCATAATTCTAATGAACTGTGTATCTGGACCAATCAGACACACACAAATTATTCATTATATTTAATGAATAATCCAGCAAACTCACTCTCCCAACAAAGGTCTATGAAACTTTACCGAAAACTAACATCCCAAATGAAGCGAACACACTGGCAGAACCCGGTGTCCTGTTACACATTAAGACTGATAAGACTTTTTACGACCCGAAAAGGAATTTGCAGAGAATTGTGACTCTCACTTAGTACCGTAATTCTTGCGGAGAAGGAGAAATAAACCCTTTTAATCCTACACCTGCAATCCTGTGTTTGATCAGAACTATTGGAGATTAGTTTGGACAGAAACACAAGGTCATACATTCAGAGCCAGAATCCAGACTCAAAGCCCCAGTGAGGAAAAGAGCTAAAGATTTAAAACTTTAGATTTTTTTATTGAGTTGAGTTATCTCAAGTTACAATTTTGCGTGTGCCAAACATGTGAAGTATTTTAAGTATACAGTAAACGAAGAGCTGATCCGCAGATCCTCCACTCCGCAGCCTCGGGGTTTAATCGCTGCTGAAGGTCTGAGTCTCCAGATCAGACAAGATGCTCCTGCAAGAGGACCAGATCACAGTCACAGTCTTGAATCTCCTGATTCCCCTGAGGCGTCACGGCGGGCGAGACGTACCTGTGCTCCGGCGAGAGCTCGAACTCCTGCTGGATCCTGTGGATGAGTGTGTGTGTGTCGGGCAGACAGAAGCCAGCGGAGATCTTCACCAGCTCCACGGCCTGATCCACATCCCCGCTCTCCTTCACACACGTCAGGAACCGGTTCAGCAGATCCACACTGACACACAAACACAACACACGTTCGTCTGAACCAGAGACTGTATAACATATGATCGTAGTGTGCGTGACGTCACCCATAGTGTTTCTGAAGAGCATTATGAAGCCTAAAGTGGGCGGAGCCATCTTTGATAACCGTAAATGTGCAGCGAGGCGGATTAGCTGAGGTGACGTGACGCTAACGCTAGCAGACAAACGGCTAGTAGTGACATCAGAGCAATCCACCTGTCACTCAAGTGGCCACGCCCTTAATTATGCACAACTTTAAGGTTTAATATAATTTAAACGAATGAGTTATTAAAAAATTCACCCCCTTCACAGTTTTCATGAAGGGCAAAATTAGCTATATAGACCAAAACCACTTTTTGCACCAGGCGGTAAACATGTGTTTTTCTGCTGTAAAGTTGGTCATTTTAACATGCGGGTTTATGGGATTGACTCTCTTCTGCAGCCGGCCTCTAGTGGCCAGTGGAGGAACTGCAGTTTAAGTCACTCAGTGTTGGATTGAAGAGAGAGAGACTGGAGGGTGTCCATTAGTTTGAACACATCAGGACATGAAATAAAACATTTCAGTTACAGTGCACGGGGCAAACATTGCTACATTAACTTCTAGTCAATATCCATTTTCTAGTGATCCATATTGGCACATTATAAACATCTTGATGCTTGTGAAGCAAAATCACAAATGCCTGGAAGAGTCATGGGAATGAGCGGGATCTCACCTGGGAACTCTATTGTGGGTTTTGAAGAGTTTCAGTGTCTCCCTGAATGAAGAGAAGTGAAAAATAACAGATCTGAGTTTTATTCACATTACAGAATCCCATAAATGACGTTACCAGTAGGGGTGTACCGACACACTCATGTCACGATTCGACACATATCACGATACTCAACTCACGATACCATATTATCGCGATACTCCAAGACATATGATAAACGATTAACAGAAAATTAACTTGATTAAAATGCTAAATTTGATATTGCATTGTGTGTGTGAATGAATATTCTTGGACTCGGTGCTGAAACCCAAAGCACAGGACAATAGAGACTCCAGAATAACAATATTCATGATTCTGAAGATGAAAACACTGAATTATTGTAGATGAATATGCTTGATCTCTGTCACTGACTAGATATATTTATAATAATGTCGGCCACTTTTACTGGTAACGTCAGACATCTGGCATTATCAGCACACACACACATTCCCCCAGTGCATTATTATACATTATATTCAACATTATATACAGTAGTGTAATGCAGTACTGACACTACAACTCTGAAAACCTGAATTTTTTCACTTTGGTAATTTTCATTTTCCACGATACATATTGATGCATATTTGTATAGCGATATCTAGCGACAGCCCCAGTTACCAGGCGTCCGGTGTCCTGTGAGCCGCGAGCAGGACGGAGATGACGTCGCTGAGAGAACCGGCCGTCCAGCTCATCTGGGCCTTCCCTCGGTCACCGGTGCTGTACATGCTCCTAATGTCCAGCGCACAGTCGGCCAGCGAGTCCTGCACCTGACACACACACACACACACCATTACTGCAGACCCACACTGACATACACACTACATATGCAAACTCATTCATGCATTTCTAAAATAACTAATAAAAAAGAAGAGGAGAGATTGGCTTCCAATGACAATGCATTGTATTGTACTGTACATCTAAATAAAAGTGAGTTGAGGTGAGCTGGTGATGCGGCTGTACCTGCGCACTGTGTGTTTCTCTGGCCATCAGTGCCAGCAGATCCTCCACCAGCTTCTGTCTGTTCGCGTGGCCCAGCGCTTTGATATCTGTGCAGCAACACATTATTGATAATGATACTGATGATGCTTTGAGTCGATGTGATGCCAGAATAAAACACCATACAGACAGACAACACCTCTCCAGAGACCACTGGCCTGATCAAACCAACAGCCATGACTATACGAGCGCTCACACCAATGCACAACACTGTTCGGTTTATCAGAAGCGGTGCAGTTGTGTCGTCTGCCGCTTTAAAGCAGGATGCATTCTGATTGGCTGTCAATGTTTTTATCATTCATCAGCTGGGAGCATAAGACCATTAAAGATATTTTAGATTATTTTAGTCAAAATTGCTGAAAAATCTTAGATAGAAACACTAGTAATACGATCTAATCACTTTTGACCAATAGGTGGCGCTGTGACTGATGAATAGCGGTTTCCATTACTCTGTTTTTATGCGCATTTTGAAGTGTCGCATCAGAAACAAGTGATGAAACACCAAATTAAATTAAAAAAAATATTAATTTGCATTACCGGTAAGTTTTTACGCTCGCTTGAGGTGGTTTTTGAAATGTGCGAAAAAGAGTTCATGTGAATAGAAACGCATTTGCCAAATAAATTCTGACGTAGCGAACATTAGACCCAAGTGACTATTTAAGATTTAATGTGAATGATGATAATGTAAAGTAAAGTATGATTTTTGGTAAAGTAATAGTGTTTAATATTGATGCTCTTATAGTGGCTAGGCTCTATAAATTGTCCCACATTTCTGGAAACATGTCACATGTTCCTGTGGCAAAATTCTGGAGTCTGCAGGTTTTAAAGTCCCCCTGTGGTGTAAATCCAGCTTTTAATGTTGTTTATGTGTCTATGTGGTGTTTTTAATACGCTTTAAGACACACCATGTGTAAGTTCATAAGTCGACAGCATTGCTGAGTATTTTCTGCTTAAAACTGCAGTGAACCAAAGACAGTCTCAAAAACACGGTTTGAAATCGCTGGTGTTTCTGACGTCACAAACGACCTTGTAACCAATCAGGTCAACGTGTGATCGTCAACCAGTGGATCTCTGAGCTGAGTGAGTGAGTGGAGGCGGGGCTCATTTGCATATTCATAGAGCCGCGCATACTAAACGAGGCAAGGGTGTCGAGTTACATTCAAGATATTTGAAGACATGAAATGTTTAAATATGTCGTTTGATGAGTTTTAAGGGATACGATTATTGACTACAGGGGGACTTTAAAAGGCGTTCTCCAACCACTGTCTGTCAACTGTTTTGATTTATGATGATTTTTGGCCAAACTGTTCAGAAGTTTTTTCCATATCTCCTGACCACTAGGTGGCACTGTGCCCAAATTGTGCAGGTATCCTCAAGTCGTGGTTGTCATAACACACACCAAGTTTGGTCAGAACACGCTGAAGCGTTGTGGAGATATAGCCTCACGTTCACTCCGGCGTGCTCTTCATCACATTCGTTCATGTGATATTCTAGAACAGTTTGACGAATAAACTTGAATTCCATAACTTTTTGTCACAATGGTCTGAAGATGATCTGGTTCAATTTTCACAAAAATTTAATTCGTGAAAAAGTTATTTTTCAGAAATTCCCAAAATGGCGGAATATGAAAATGATGGTTCAAAGGTTATTAGCATAAATGAGTGCAACTTTGAACAGGTGGTGGCGCTACAGGGATTGAGTTAGAGACTCCAAATTGGCTGTAGTTAATGTTCAGACGGTCCTCTATCTGTGTGCCAAATCTCACAGCGTTCCCACAAGCGGATCTATGGGATGCCGAAGGCTCAAGAGAAGAAGAGTAGCTGACCAGTGCTCGGCCCATAATACATAAATCACTCAATCACCTTTCCATATCTGCGGGATGAGTTCTAATCTGTTGTCGGTATCCAGCGCTCGCAGTAGATCCGTCATGACGTTAGAATTGGGGTAGTACACCTGAAACCAGATCAATGATGTCACATCCTGTGTGCGTTCACATGAAGCAGTGCATGAGTGTGTGTTACTCACTGAGGGAATCAGATCTCTGTACCACTTCATCACCACGTCAACATGCTCCATCAGGCAGAGCAGGCTGAAGAAGCGCGCGCTGAAACACACACACACACACACACACACACACCGTTCCACCTTACTCCTGACGAGCTTACTGCGTTCTGAATTATGGGAAGCACTTCCATTCAAAAAGACTGAAACATCATAAGGTAAAGCTGATCCGTAGGTTTTTAGTTTGCAGGAATATACTCACTAGTAGATGCTCCGTTTTACATCATTTCCCATGAGTCTCCAGTTCTCCCCGACTCCCAGCAGCCTGTGGACTCTGTACGCCTGCTCCATGTCCTTGGTCTCGAGACACTGTAGACAGAGACGCCACACAGGGTCACGCTTCAGAATCATGTGGCATAAAGCACAAAGCGGCGTCATGTTCAAGCGCACTTACGATTCTCATGGCAGTGATGAAGAACTGTGCTGAAACACAAGCAACACAGGCGTGATCAGAGAGACTGTGGAGGCATCGACACATGCAGACGTGTAAAGCTTAGGGTCAGTCCTGATACACACACTTGCGGTGTTGGCCAATTGAAAGCGCATTCGTGTGACAGGAAGTAAGTGTGCAAGACGAATCACATGTGTGCTAAATGCCAATGAACACTTTAACCTTCTCATAACATCCACTGCAGCATCAGCTCTATTCTCACAGTCTGAAACAGTTCGATAAAGGATTCGGACTCTAAACCCCGCCTTTCCAAGAGCCTGCTCTGCTCTGATTGGTCAGATTGGGTCTACTCTGCTCTGATTGGTCAGATGGCCAAGTCTGCTGTGATTGGTCTACTCTGCTCTGATTGGTCAGATGGCCCAGTCTGTTGTGATTGGTCAGATGACCCAGTCTGCTGTGATTGGTCTACTCTGCTCTGATTGGTCAGATGACCCAGTCTGCTGTGATTGGTCTACTCTGCTCCGATTGGTCAGATGACCCAGTCTGTTGTGATTGGTCTACTCTGCTCTGATTGGTCAGATGGCCCAGTCTGTTGTGATTGGTCTACTCTGCTCTGATTGATTAGATGACTCAGTCTGTTGTGATTGGTCTACTCTGCTCTGATTGGTCAGATGACCCAGTCTGTTGTGATTGGTCTACTCTGCTCTGATTGGTCAGATGACCCAGTCTGTTGTGATTGGTCAGATGACCCAGTCTGCTGTGATTGGTCTACTCTGCTCTGATTGGTCAGATGACCCAGTCTGTTGTGATTGGTCAGATGACCCAGTCTGCTGTGATTGGTCTACTCTGCTCTGATTGGTCAGATGACCCAGTCTGTTGTGATTGGTCAGATGACCCAGTCTGCTGTGATTGGTCTACTCTGCTCTGATTGGTCAGATGACCCAGTCTGTTGTGATTGGTCTACTCTACTCTGATTGGTCAGATGACCCAGTCTGTTGTGATTGGTCTACTCTGCTCTGATTGGTCAGATGACCCAGTCTGCTGTGATTGGTCAGATGACCCAGTCTGCTGTGATTGGTCAGATGACCCAGTCTGCTGTGATTGGTCTACTCTGCTCCGATTGGTCAGATGACCCAGTCTGTTGTGATTGGTCAGATGACCCAGTCTGCTGTGATTGGTCTACTCTGCTCCGATTGGTCAGATGACCCAGTCTGTTATGATTGGTCTACTCTGCTCTGATTGGTCAGATGACCCAGTCTGTTGTGATTGGTCAGATGACCCAGTCTGCTGTGATTGGTCTACTCTGCTCTGATTGGTCAGATGACCCAGTCTGTTGTGATTGGTCTACTCTGCTCTGATTGGTCAGATGACCCAGTCATTTGTGATTGGTCAGATGACCCAGTCTGCTGTGATTGGTCTACTCTGCTCTGATTGGTCAGATGGCCCAGTCTGTTGTGATTGGTCTACTCTGCTCTGATTGGTCAGATGACCCAGTCTGTTGTGATTGGTCAGATGACCCAGTCTGCTGTGATTGGTCTACTCTGCTCCGATTGGTCAGATGACCCAGTCTGTTATGATTGGTCTACTCTGCTCTGATTGGTCAGATGACCCAGTCTGCTGTGATTGGTCTACTCTGCTCTGATTGGTCAGACGACCCAGTCTGTTGTGATTGGTCAGATGACCCAGTCTGCTGTGATTGGTCTACTCTGCTCTGATTGGTCAGATGACCCAGTCTGTTGTGATTGGTCTACTCTGCTCTGATTGGTCAGATGACCCAGTCTGTTGTGATTGGTCAGATGACCCAGTCTGCTGTGATTGGTCTACTCTGCTCTGATTGGTCAGATGGCCCAGTCTGTTGTGATTGGTCTACTCTGCTCTGATTGGTCAGATGACCCAGTCTGTTGTGATTGGTCAGATGACCCAGTCTGCTGTGATTGGTCTACTCTGCTCCGATTGGTCAGATGACCCAGTCTGTTATGATTGGTCTACTCTGCTCTGATTGGTCAGATGACCCAGTCTGCTGTGATTGGTCTACTCTGCTCTGATTGGTCAGACGACCCAGTCTGTTGTGATTGGTCTACTCTACTCTGATTGGTCAGATGGTCCAGTCTGTTGTGATTGGTCTACTCTGCTCTGATTGGTCAGATGACCCAGTCTGTTGTGATTGGTCAGATGACCCAGTCTGCTGTGATTGGTCTACTCTGCTCCGATTGGTCAGATGACCCAGTCTGTTATGATTGGTCTGCTCTGCTCTGATTGGTCAGATGACCCAGTCTGTTGTGATTGGTCAGATGACCCAGTCTGCTGTGATTGGTCTACTCTGCTCCGATTGGTCAGATGACCCAGTCTGTTATGATTGGTCTGCTCTGCTCTGATTGGTCAGATGACCCAGTCTGCTGTGATTGGTCTACTCTGCTCTGATTGGTCAGATGACCCAGTCTGCTGTGATTGGTCTACTCTGCTCTGATTGGTCATATGGCCCAGTCTGTTGTGATTGGTCTACTCTGCTCCGATTGGTCAGATGACCCAGTCTGTTATGATTGGTCTACTCTGCTCTGATTGGTCGGATGACCCAGTCTGTTATGATTGGTCTACTCTGCTCTGATTGGTCAGATGACCCAGTCTGCTGTGATTGGTCTACTCTGCTCTGATTGGTCAGATGACCCAGTCTGTTGTGATTGGTCTACTCTGCTCTGATTGGTCAGATGGCCCAGTCTGTTGTGATTGGTCTACTCTGCTCTGATTGGTCAGATGGCCCAGTCTGCTGTGATTGGTCTACTCTGCTCTGATTGGTCAGATGACCCAGTCTGCTGTGATTGGTCTACTCTGCTCTGATTGGTCAGATGACCCAGTCTGCTGTGATTGGTCTACTCTGCTCTGATTGGTCAGATGACCCAGTCTGTTGTGATTGGTCTACTCTGCTCTGATTGGTCAGATGACCCAGTCTGCTGTGATTGGTCTACTCTGCTCTGATTGGTCAGATGACCCAGTCTGTTGTGATTGGTCTACTCTGCTCTGATTGGTCAGATGGCCCAGTCTGTTGTGATTGGTCTACTCTGCTCTGATTGGTCAGATGGCCCAGTCTGCTGTGATTGGTCTACTCTGCTCTGATTGGTCAGATGACCCAGTCTGTTATGATTGCGCTGTTGTGCAGAGATTAGTAATTGTATTTTGTAAAACATTTGTAACATCTTTTTAATCACTTAATGAGAAGCACCACAATTACATGTTATCATCTGTTACTGAACAGACATTTAGAAAAAAAATTAAGTGCGACGTACTGAAAATAAAAATGTGTAAATAAAGCTCTGTAAAACCTTTAACCTTTGGCACACTTGCAGTCTTCACGCCCACTCGAACACTTGGGCCAAATACAGGAAATACATCATGTAAATGGACAAGTGTTCGAGTGCTAAGAGCAGAAGTGTGTGTATTAGGACAGGCCCTATTCAGCAAACCCCACGGTAGTAATAAGCAGATACCATCATCCGGGTCCTGTGGGGCGAAGCTCTTCCCCGACACCTCGTACATCACTTCCTGTAGAATGTCTTTTTGGCCCTGAACTGTGGCACCTGCAGAGCAAAGCATGATGGGAAATGCATGATCCTGAGTTTGCGTGTACAAGTATGCATAATATACAAGCTCATTTATTTAGAGAATTGGTATTGTAAGACATCAAATGACCTGTTTTATAAAATATGTTGAGCACGTGCCCGTAAGAGGCCAGACAGGGCTCTGCAATCAGAAGAACAACAATCAGTTACACCAAAATAAATAAGCATACACCACTTCATTTCTGCAGAAGCCGGAATAAATGCGCATCACTCATCGGACCGATCTTGAGAGCCTTCATCTCGCTGATCACAGGAAAGGCCTGAGACTTTCCCAGGGAGCCACAGCGTCTCAAAGCCTTCAGGACGGCGTTAAACGTCAGGAGGTTCGGCTTGACCTTCTGCTCCGCCATCTGCTTCAGGAGATCCTGCAACACACACACACACACAGATGCACAAGCTGGCTTTGCAGATGGGCTGGTGCTGGGCGTATGACCAAACATTTACATCACAGTATTTTTCAAAATCACACCGGCTTCATTAGATTGGCTTAGAACGCCCTATTTTACTGTCATGAGTGAATATTGTAGGAAAATCCACACTAGTATTAATACAGGTTTGCAAGGACACACAGAATGATGCGGTTTACAGAGAGGTCCAGCAGGAGGCGCTGTAGGAGCGGCTTTATCAGGAGAGACTAAATGAAAATAGCATCGAAACTTCTCTAAAGACAGTCAGTTCCCTTCAGACACACACATATAAAACACTTTTGACTGTGAAGCGTGCAGTGCTCATGTTTATTCAGCGATGGCAAAGCCCGCCACAAAGAGGTTCTCCAAAAGGCAGTGTTGATATTGTGAACCAATGTATGAGAAACACTGTAATATACTTTAACAGCTGTCAGTTATAGTGTAACCTCTCCATGTTCATGGGTAGATGTGACCATAGAGATTTATATGATGGAAAAGATCACGTTTTTTGTTAATTTGAAGATTGATGATGTTTTTCTGGAAAAATTGAGGAAATGGGTTGAATATGTATCAGAAGGAATGGCAGATTTTGCTGCAATACATAAATAGATGAAGATTAATATATATGTTAATAATGTATTTTTGCATGTGTGTTTAATAATAATTCTCATAAATCATTTGAAATTATAATAATAAGTAATTTGAGGTTGTTAAGGATGGAATTTAATTAGGACCTGGATGTACATAGTTACCTTTTTTTATTATTGTTTTCTTTTACCCTCATTCATTTTGTTTTATTTAACTTTCTTTTTTTCTTTATTTGTAAAAGGGGGGGGGGGGGGGGGATTATACTTTAAAACAATTTAACAAATCTGGAGTACAATTTAGATTTAAAAACACAGGTAATTGTACATATTTGTCTTGGTAAACACACTTTGTGATTGCACTATAGCACTATATGTAAACAGAAATATAGTTATTGTACTCGTATGAATTATCAAAAATAAACATAAAATAACAACAACAAAAAGAAAGTGGCTTTGCAACAAAATCACAAGTCACGTACCACCATCAGCTCCCATTTCTCATTGTACTTCTCTTGTGCGTCTGGGGCGGCTGCGATCAGGGCGTTGAAGATGTGCACATCGGCTACAGGAACAAAAAGCCAATCTTCTTTAAAGAACTAAATCCAGTTATTGAAATATAGTTATTATCTAAAGCATAGAGCAGCCCTCACCCGTCAGCCGGTTGTTCAGCAGGTCCGTGTACGTGCTGAACGCCTTCGAGTAAGCGCCATACTGTCAAATCAAGCACACACACAGTCTTCAGCCGTCAAACTAGTGGAGAAGCTAGAGATGCACCAATTCCGGCCGATAATTCTTCATATTTGAAAGCCGATAACCGATATATTGGCCGATAAATCTGAATCCAAATTTGTATGTAATTTTTGAGAGCCTGATTACACAAACAAAAGGCTCACCTTTAAAGCCGAGTCCCAAACACACAATTATAATCATATGAAGCTTATATTATAGACTTGTAATACAGCACTGAACTGTATTTTCCTTTTATGAAGTGATTCCACTCATATTTCAAGCAATTCAGAACCATCATGTTGATCTGAAGAGTCTCAGCTGAAGGAGATATTACATTATCAGCTTTAATATATCGGCCAAATGTTCTTATCGGGCCGATAACATGGAAATGAACATATATCGGGCGATAGCGATATGCTGGCGGATATACCGAGCATCCCTGAGAGAAGAGCATGAGCAGAAGCTCCCGCACACGTTACCTTCACCATGCCCCGGATCAGAGCGCTGTATGAGCGCGTGTTCGGCTCGGACAGCAGCGCAAAGATTCGCTCAGCATTATTATTCTCTCTGTGGGGGAACAGAGGAAAACAGCCTCTTATGACACGACACTATCATCTCGAGTTAGTATGGTTATGCAGACACACTTCCGGTCAACATTGTTCAATACTTAGGATTATTTTGTTCACATTTGAATCAGAAAAAAGCATCATGTTCAGCATCATTACTCAAGTCTTCAGTGTCACATGATCATTTGTAATATTATAAATGTCTTTACTGTCACTTTTGATCAATTTGATGCATCCTTGCTGAATAAAAGTATCAATTAAATTTTTATTAAGATATTATTAACCAAATATTTTTGATGGTAGTGTATCACGGTTTCCACAAAATAAGAATCAGCACAATGGTTTTCAACACTGATAATAATCATAAATGTTTCTTGAGCATCAGATCATCATATTAGAGTGATTTCTGAAGGATCATGTGACACTGAAGACTGGAGTAATGATGCTGGAAATACAGCTTTGATCACAGGAATAAATTACACTTTACTATATATTCACATAGAAAACAGCTGATTTACACTGGAATAATAATATTTCACAATATGAATGTATTTACTGCATTTTCAATCAAATAAATGCAGCCTTGGTGAGCAGAAGAGACTTCTTTCAAAAACATAAAACAATCTTATTTCCAACCTGTAGACCTGTAGTGTATAGAACAGGTTTGATCAGAAAACCACAGTCACTCACTTCCAGGGGAACTTCAGTACGTCTGAGGCTTTTGCTCCTCTTGCTTTGCTAGCCTGCGGCTCATCCTGGACGTCCTCCTGCGGTTTCCCGGGGTAAGAGGAGTCCATGGACATACGGTGGAGAAAATCACCATTACACAAGGTCTCAGAAGGCTCGTTGGTTTAATAAAACTCAGCACTATCATCGGTTCAATAGTCATATTTAGTTTTTATTATTTATTTAATCCAAACTGATTTTAGAGCTGAAACTATGTAAAAGAGGATCTTTTTTTTTTTTTAAAGAGTCTTGTTTTTTGGCTCTACTAGAACAGGTTTTCCTGCTTGAATGTTGATTATTCTCCTCATATTCTCCATTGTTGCTTAAATTACTATTTATTTATTATTAATTGATCAAATCTACTAATTTAAAAGTTAAATAAAATAAATAAAATAATCTCCAAAAGAATTGCAACAAAATAAAATAAAAATGTATATATATATATATAGCAACAGAGCATCTCAAACAGAGTTTTATGGTGTGAGAGGCCTTACCGTCTCTTCAGTCCTCTGTTCTGGGATGTTCTCTTGTGCAGGATCACGGTCTCCATAGAAGCAGATCAGCTCTAACAGCTCATTCGTCACGTCCAAAGACACTGGTGTACCTGCACACAACACACTCGTCATCAGTCAGAAACAGACTCACAGACACAGACACTCAGACACTCACTCAGACACAGACTCAGACACAGACACAGACTCAGACACAGACACAGACTCAGACACAGACTCAGACACAGACTCAGACACAGACACAGACACAGACTCAGACACAGACACAGACTCAGACTCAGACACAGACACAGACTCAGACACAGACTCAGACACAGACACAGACTCAGACACAGACACAGACTCAGACACAGACACAGACACAGACTCAGACACAGACACAGACTCAGACACAGACTCAGACACAGACACAGACACAGACTCAGACACAGACTCAGACACAGACTCAGACACAGACTCAGACACAGACTCAGACACAGACACAGACTCAGACACAGACACAGACTCAGACACAGACACAGACACAGACTCAGACTCAGACACAGACACAGACACAGACTCAGACTCAGACTCAGACACAGACTCAGACACAGACTCAGACACAGACTCAGACTCAGACTCAGACACAGACTCAGACACAGACTCAGACACAGACTCAGACACAGACTCAGACTCAGACACACACACAGACTCAGACACAGACTCAGACTCAGACACAGACTCAGACACAGACTCAGACACAGACACAGACTCAGACACAGACTCGGACACGGACACGGACTCGGACTCGGACACGGACACGGACTCGGACTCGGACACAGACTCAGACTCAGACTCAGACACAGACACAGACTCAGACTCAGACACAGACTCAGACACAGACACAGACTCAGACTCAGACTCAGACACAGACTCAGACTCAGACTCAGACACAGACACAGACAGACTCAGACACAGACTCAGACTCAGACTCAGACTCAGACACAGACTCAGACACAGACTCAGACTCAGACACAGACACAGACTCAGACACAGACTCAGACACAGACTCAGACACAGACTCAGACACAGACTCAGACTCAGACACAGACTCAGACACAGACTCAGACTCAGACACAGACTCAGACACAGACTCAGACACAGACTCAGACACAGACTCAGACACAGACTCAGACTCAGACTCAGACACAGACTCAGACACAGACAGAGACACAGACACAGACACAGACTCAGACACAGACACAGACTCAGACACAGACTCAGACACAGACTCAGACTCAGACACAGACTCAGACACAGACTCAGACACAGACTCAGACACTACACAGACTCAGACACAGACTCAGACACAGACACAGACACAGACTCAGACACAGACTCAGACACAGACTCAGACACAGACTCAGACACAGACTCAGACACAGACACAGACTCAGACACAGACTCAGACACAGACACAGACTCAGACTCAGACACAGACTCAGACTCAGACACAGACTCAGACTCAGACACAGACTCAGACTCAGACACAGACTCAGACTCAGACACAGACTCAGACACAGACACAGACACAGACTCAGACACAGACTCAGACACAGACTCAGACACAGACTCAGACTCAGACTCAGACACAGACTCAGACACAGACTCAGACACAGACTCAGACACAGACACAGACTCAGACACAGACTCAGACTCAGACTCAGACACAGACTCAGACACAGACTCAGACAGACTCAGACACAGACTCCGACACAGACACAGACTCAGACTCAGACACAGACTCAGACACAGACACAGACTCTCAGACTCAGACTCAGACTCTCAGACTCAGACACAGACTCAGACACAGACTCAGACTCAGACACAGACTCAGACACAGACACAGACTCAGACTCTCAGACTCAGACTCTCAGACTCAGACACAGACTCAGACACAGACTCAGACACAGACACAGACTCAGACTCAGACACAGACTCAGACTCAGACACAGACTCAGACACAGACTCAGACACAGACTCAGACACAGACTCAGACACAGACACAGACACAGACTCAGACTCAGACTCAGACTCAGACACAGACTCAGACTCAGACACAGACTCAGACTCTCAGACTCAGACTCTCAGACTCAGACTCAGACTCAGACACAGACACAGACTCAGACACAGACACAGACACAGACACAGACTCAGACTCAGACACAGACTCAGACTCAGACACAGACTCAGACACAGACTCAGACACAGACTCAGACACAGACTCAGACACAGACACAGACACAGACTCAGACTCAGACTCAGACTCAGACACAGACACAGACTCAGACACAGACTCAGACTCAGACACAGACACAGACACAGACTCAGACACAGACTCAGACACAGACTCAGACTCAGACACAGACTCAGACACAGACTCAGACTCAAAACACAGACTCAGACACAGACTCAGACTCAGACTCTCAGACTCAGACACAGACACAGACACAGACTCAGACACAGACACAGACTCAGACACAGACACAGACTCAGACACAGACTCAGACACAGACACAGACTCAGACACAGACTCAGACACAGACTCAGACACAGACTCAGACACAGACTCAGACACAGACTCAGACACAGACTCAGACACAGACTCAGACTCAGACTCAGACACAGACTCAGACACAGACACAGACTCAGACTCTCAGACTCAGACTCTCAGACTCAGACTCTCAGACTCAGACTCTCAGACTCAGACTCTCAGACTCAGACTCTCAGACTCAGACTCTCAGACTCTCAGACTCAGACTCTCAGACTCTGACTCTCAGACTCAGACTCTCAGACTCACACTCTCAGACTCACACTCTCAGACTCACACTCTCAGACTCAGACTCAGACACAGACTCAGACTCAGACTCAGACACAGACACAGACACAGACACAGACTCAGACACAGACTCAGACACAGACACAGACTCAGACACAGATTCAGACTCAGACACAGACTCAGACACAGACTCAGACACAGACTCAGACACAGACACAGACACAGACTCAGACTCTCAGACTCAGACTCAGACTCAGACTCTCAGACTCTCAGACTCAGACTCTCAGACTCTCAGACTCAGACTCACACTCTCAGACTCTCAGACTCAGACTCTCAGACTCTCAGACTCTGACTCTCAGACTCTGACTCTCAGACTCAGACTCTCAGACTCAGACTCTCAGACTCACACTCTCAGACTCTCAGACTCAGACTCTCAGACTCACACTCTCAGACTCACACTCTCAGACTCACACTCTCAGACTCACACTCTCAGACTCAGACTCAGACACAGACTCAGACACAGACACAGACTCAGACACAGACACAGACACAGACACAAACTCAGACACAGCCTCAGACTCAGACACAGACTCAGACACAGACTCAGACTCAGACACAGACACAGACACAGACACAGACTCAGACTCAGACTCAGACTCTCAGACTCTCAGACTCAGACTCTCAGACTCAGACTCTCAGACTCAGACTCTCAGACTCTCAGACTCAGACTCTCAGACTCACACTCTCAGACTCAGACTCTCAGACTCAGACTCTCAGACTCTCAGACTCAGACTCTCAGACTCAGACTCACACTCTCAGACTCTCAGACACTCAGACTCTCAGACTCTCAGACACTCAGACTCTCAGACTCAGACTCTCAGACTCAGACTCAGACTCTCAGACTCAGACTCTCAGACTCAGACTCTCAGACTCTCAGACTCAGACTCTCAGACTCAGACTCAGACTCTCAGACTCTCAGACTCTCAGACTCTCAGACTCAGACTCTCAGACTCAGACTCTCAGACTCAGACTCTCAGACTCAGACTCTCAGACTCAGACTCTCAGACTCAGACTCTCAGACTCTCAGACTCAGACTCTCAGACTCAGACTCTCAGACTCTCAGACTCAGACTCTCAGACTCAGACTCTCAGACTCAGACTCTCAGACTCAGACTCTCAGACTCAGACTCTCAGACTCTCAGACTCAGACTCTCAGACACTCAGACTCAGACTCTCAGACTCAGACTCTCAGACTCAGACTCTCAGACTCAGACTCTCAGACTCAGACTCTCAGACTCTCAGACTCAGAGACACTCAGACTCTCAGACACTCAGACTCTCAGACACTCAGACACTCAGACTCAGACTCTCAGACTCAGACTCTCAGACTCAGACTCTCAGACTCAGACTCTCAGACTCAGACTCTCAGACACTCAGACTCAGACTCTCAGACTCTCAGACTCAGACTCTCAGACTCAGACTCTCAGACTCTCAGACTCAGACTCTCAGACTCAGACTCAGACTCTCAGACTCAGACTCTCAGACTCAGACTCTCAGACTCAGACTCAGACTCTCAGACTCAGACTCTCAGACTCAGACTCTCAGACTCAGACTCAGACTCTCAGACTCAGACTCTCAGACTCAGACTCAGACTCTCAGACTCTCAGACACTCAGACTCAGACTCTCAGACTCTCAGACTCTCAGACTCAGACTCTCAGACTCAGACTCTCAGACTCAGACTCTCAGACTCAGACTCAGACTCTCAGACTCAGACTCTCAGACTCAGACTCTCAGACTCAGACTCAGACTCTCAGACTCAGACTCAGACTCAGACTCTCAGACTCAGACTCTCAGACTCAGACTCTCAGACTCAGACTCTCAGACTCAGACTCTCAGACTCAGACTCAGACTCTCAGACTCTCAGACTCTCAGACTCTCAGACTCTCAGACTCAGACTCACACTCTCAGACTCACACTCTCAGACTCACACTCTCAGACTCTCAGACTCAGACTCTCAGACTCAGACTCTCAGACTCAGACTCTCAGACTCAGACTCAGACTCTCAGACTCAGACTCTCAGACTCAGACTCTCAGACTCAGACTCTCAGACTCAGACTCTCAGACTCAGACTCTCAGACTCAGACTCTCAGACTCAGACTCTCAGACTCAGACTCTCAGACTCTCAGACTCAGACTCTCAGACTCAGACTCTCAGACTCAGACTCTCAGACTCAGACTCAGACTCTCAGACTCAGACTCTCAGACTCAGACTCTCAGACTCAGACTCTCAGACTCAGACTCTCAGACTCAGACTCTCAGACTCAGACTCTCAGACTCAAGACTCTCAGACTCAGACTCTCAGACTCAGACTCTCAGACTCAGACTCTCAGACTCTCAGACTCAGACTCTCAGACTCAGACTCTCAGACTCTCAGACTCAGACTCAGACTCTCAGACTCAGACTCAGACTCTCAGACTCAGACTCTCAGACTCAGACTCTCAGACTCAGACTCAGACTCTCAGACTCAGACTCTCAGACTCAGACTCTCAGACTCAGACTCTCAGACTCAGACTCTCAGACTCAGACTCTCAGACTCAGACTCTCAGACTCAGACTCTCAGACTCAGACTCTCAGACTCAGACTCTCAGACTCAGACTCTCAGACTCAGACTCAGACTCTCAGACTCAGACTCTCAGACTCAGACTCTCAGACTCAGACTCTCAGACTCAGACTCAGACTCTCAGACTCAGACTCTCAGACTCAGACTCAGACTCTCAGACTCAGACTCTCAGACTCTCAGACTCAGACTCTCAGACTCAGACTCTCAGACTCAGACTCAGACTCTCAGACTCAGACTCTCAGACTCAGACTCTCAGACTCTCAGACTCAGACTCTCAGACTCAGACTCTCAGACTCAGACTCTCAGACTCAGACTCAGACTCTCAGACTCAGACTCTCAGACTCAGACTCTCAGACTCAGACTCTCAGACTCAGACTCTCAGACTCAGACTCTCAGACTCAGACTCTCAGACTCAGACTCTCAGACTCAGACTCTCAGACTCTCAGACTCAGACTCTCAGACTCAGACTCTCAGACTCAGACTCAGACTCTCAGACTCAGACTCTCAGACTCAGACTCTCAGACTCAGACTCAGACTCTCAGACTCAGACTCTCAGACTCAGACTCTCAGACTCAGACTCAGACTCTCAGACTCAGACTCAGACTCTCAGACTCAGACTCTCAGACTCAGACTCTCAGACTCAGACTCTCAGACTCAGACTCTCAGACTCAGACTTAGACTCTCAGACTCAGACTCTCAGACTCAGACTTAGACTCTCAGACTCAGACTCTCAGACTCAGACTCTCAGACTCAGACTCTCAGACTCAGACTTAGACTCTCAGACTCAGACTCAGACTCTCAGACTCAGACTCTCAGACTCAGACTCTCAGACTCAGACTCTCAGACTCAGACTCTCAGACTCAGACTTAGACTCTCAGACTCAGACTCTCAGACTCAGACTCTCAGACTCAGACTCTCAGACTCAGACTCTCAGACTCAGACTCTCAGACTCAGACTCTCAGACTCAGACTCTCAGACTCAGACTCTCAGACTCAGACTCAGACTCTCAGACTCAGACTCTCAGACTCAGACTCTCAGACTCAGACTCTCAGACTCAGACTCTCAGACTCAGACTCTCAGACTCAGACTCTCAGACTCAGACTCTCAGACTCAGACTCTCAGACTCTCAGACTCAGACTCAGACTCTCAGACTCAGACTCTCAGACTCAGACTCTCAGACTCAGACTCTCAGACTCAGACTCTCAGACTCAGACTCTCAGACTCAGACTCTCAGACTCAGACTCTCAGACTCAGACTCAGACTCAGACTCTCAGACTCAGACTCTCAGACTCAGACTCAGACTCTCAGACTCAGACTCTCAGACTCAGACTCTCAGACTCAGACTCTCAGACTCAGACTCAGACTCTCAGACTCAGACTCTCAGACTCAGACTCTCAGACTCAGACTCTCAGACTCTCAGACTCTCAGACTCAGACTCTCAGACTCAGACTCTCAGACTCAGACTCTCAGACTCAGACTCAGACTCTCAGACTCAGACTCTCAGACTCAGACTCTCAGACTCAGACTCTCAGACTCAGACTCTCAGACTCAGACTCTCAGACTCAGACTCTCAGACTCAGACTCTCAGACTCAGACTCTCAGACTCAGACTCTCAGACTCAGACTCTCAGACTCAGACTCTCAGACTCAGACTCTCAGACTCAGACTCTCAGACTCAGACTCTCAGACTCAGACTCTCAGACTCAGACTCTCAGACTCAGACTCTCAGACTCAGACTCTCAGACTCAGACTCTCAGACTCAGACTCTCAGACTCAGACTCTCAGACTCAGACTCTCAGACTCAGACTCTCAGACTCAGACTCTCAGACTCAGACTCTCAGACTCAGACTCTCAGACTCAGACTCTCAGACTCAGACTCTCAGACTCAGACTCTCAGACTCAGACTCTCAGACTCAGACTCTCAGACTCAGACTCTCAGACTCAGACTCTCAGACTCAGACTCAGACTCTCAGACTCAGACTCTCAGACTCAGACTCTCAGACTCAGACTCAGACTCTCAGACTCAGACTCTCTGACTCTGCTCAGACTCTGACTCTGCTCAGACTCTGACTCTGCTCAGACTCTGACTCTGCTCAGACTCTGACTCTGCTCAGACTCTGACTCTGCTCAGACTCTGACTCTGCTCAGACTCTGACTCTGCTCAGACTCTGACTCTGCTCAGACTCTGACTCTGCTCAGACTCTGACTCTGCTCAGACTCTGACTCTGCTCAGACTCTGACTCTGCTCAGACTCTGACTCTGCTCAGACTCTGACTCTGCTCAGACTCTGACTCTGCTCAGACTCTGACTCTGCTCAGACTCTGACTCTGCTCAGACTCTGACTCTGCTCAGACTCTGACTCTGCTCAGACTCTGACTCTGCTCAGACTCTGACTCTGCTCAGACTCTGACTCTGCTCAGACTCTGACTCTGCTCAGACTCTGACTCTGCTCAGACTCTGACTCTGCTCAGACTCTGACTCTGCTCAGACTCAGACTCTGACTCTGCTCAGACTCTGACTCTGCTCAGACTCTGACTCTGCTCAGACTCTGACTCTGCTCAGACTCTGACTCTGCTCAGACTCTGACTCTGCTCAGACTCTGACTCTGCTCAGACTCTGACTCTGCTCAGACTCTGACTCTGCTCAGACTCTGACTCTGCTCAGACTCTGACTCTGCTCAGACTCTGACTCTGCTCAGACTCTGACTCTGCTCAGACTCTGACTCTGCTCAGACTCTGACTCTGCTCAGACTCTGACTCTGCTCAGACTCTGACTCTGCTCAGACTCTGACTCTGCTCAGACTCTGACTCTGCTCAGACTCTGACTCTGCTCAGACTCTGACTCTGCTCAGACTCTGACTCTGCTCAGACTCTGACTCTGCTCAGACTCTGACTCTGCTCAGACTCTGACTCTGCTCAGACTCTGACTCTGCTCAGACTCTGACTCTGCTCAGACTCTGACTCTGCTCAGACTCTGACTCTGCTCAGACTCTGACTCTGCTCAGACTCTGACTCTGCTCAGACTCTGACTCTGCTCAGACTCTGACTCTGCTCAGACTCTGACTCTGCTCAGACTCTGACTCTGCTCAGACTCTGACTCTGCTCAGACTCTGACTCTGCTCAGACTCTGACTCTGCTCAGACTCTGACTCTGCTCAGACTCTGACTCTGCTCAGACTCTGACTCTGCTCAGACTCTGACTCTGCTCAGACTCTGACTCTGCTCAGACTCTGACTCTGCTCAGACTCTGACTCTGCTCAGACTCTGACTCTGCTCAGACTCTGACTCTGACTCTGACTCTGACTCTGACTCTGACACAGACTCTCAGACACAGACTCTCAGACACAGACTCTCAGACACAAACACACACACACACTCACTCACCGGCCTGCAGCAGCTGGTCGTACAGATCCACAGCAGCTTTGACCTTCCTCAGGTGAACTCTCTCCGCGAGCGCAGCTTCAGACGCCTCCTCTATCTGAGCCTCCAGAGTCTCCGGCATCAGACACTTCCAACAGAACACAGCAGATGCTTTACAACGTTCACACACACGCATGAGCAAAGCAAACCATCGCACACAAGCACTGGACACTCACGGGAATATGAGGGTATGCGTAGTCTTTCTGGAAGTAATTTGGGTATTTGTTGATGAAATATTTGGCAGCATTTCTGCCTGACTCCTGGGACAAGGAGAATAATTTCTGTGTGGGAGAAATAAAGAGGTCAGTGTGTGTTCTCATGTAATGTGCATCTATGTTCACAACTTGCAGCATACATTAACTCTTTCCCTGCCAGCGTTAAAAAACAAAATAAAAAACTTGCCAGCCACCAACAGCGTTTTTGAAAAATCGGCCACAGAATATTTTGTTGTATGGATATCTGAACATGCAATATGTGAAAACAATAAAAAACAAAAAACATTTTATTCTAACTTCAAGCATTCTTTTTTTATCAACACTTGAATGTGGGTGAGTTTAAAAAAAAAAAAAAGGCAACATTTTGAGCAAAAAGCTGAGAAAATTATGTTTTTCTCAAAGTCTTCGTCCGGATGGGATTCAGATCCATGATCAAAACACAGACGGAGTAGATCGAGTTCATCAACACCTCAAAGCTTCTGTTGGTTCCTCTTCATGGGTTCAACATTTCATTCAGTAACGTTAGCCAGTTTGGATTTATATGCTGATTGTGAACTTCTCTAATGGTTTGATTAGCCAGTTTAATCTTTATGAGCTACTCACAAAGTCAAATGCTGTTTTTGGAGCGAGATATGGATCATCCTGGAATCTGTAATCTGATCCTGTAGGATCCTAGACCACACACACACACACACACACACAGTAACTTTGTTTACATGATATTAGATGACAAATAGGTTTATAACATGGATGTTGGAGTTGTCTGATTAACATACCCTGTTCACGGTGGATGCCAGTGCCTGTAAGACAGCCTCTTTATTCCTGATAATAATAATAATAATAAACTTTATTTCTATCCCACCTTTAAAAGGAGCTTCTCAAAGCGCAAAGGAAAAAATACAAGAAAATACAAAATAATTCAACAATAGTAAATTGGTGTATTAAAAAAAGAATATAGATCTGTGTGTCAACGTAGAGTTCATAAAAGTTGGCCAAGCAGGAATAAATAAAGACTAAAAAGGTAAAAAGTAAAGGTCCTAAAACTGAGCCCTGAGGGATACCAGTAGAAACCAGTCCAATATCAGACCTGTATTGTGCGTCCGGTCAAATAAGTAAATTAAATAATTAATCAAATGAATTGACTGTGAGTGAATTAATGAGTTATAACAAAAAACACAAGTGATCTTTCATGTGTTGATAAGAACAGTACATACCACGTTTTCTTCTTTGGAATGACTATTTCTTCTAAAAAATATAATAAAAAGATTTATTTATGATTAGAACGCAGCTTAATTTAACAAAGCACATGAATTCTCCTATTAAAAGACAGAAATGAGTTGTCAAACCTAGTGAAGAAACGGCAGGTTGTTGGTCTGCAGCAGAATTCAGAGCAAAACTCCTGTAATCAAACCCCATAATGAGCTATTTCATTCAAATAAAACATTTAATATTCTGGTAAAACTTGAAAAGTTATTAATCATATGGCGACGTGAGCTGACACATACACAGCCCCTTGAAATGACCTAGAGACAACCAGTCATTTCTTTAAATGCATGGAAATTACAAAAATGTCATTTAATAAAAAGGCGCAAGTAAGCCTGTTCTTGTGCATTCATCTTACCTATTAGGCCATGAATTGTGCAGATGGATGCGCAATATTCTGCTACTCTTACAAGCATGATGCCTGAGAGCTCGCGAACAGGAGGACGCCATGACACCGAGTGCTTGACGGAAAACCATCCGCTTTAACGCTTCCTTCAAAACAGCAGGAAGCGCTGAAGAAATCTCGGACTGTCATTGGTCCATCCTGATCAGCGCTGAGAAAAGTAACAGTTATCATGTGATCTAACCGTTTAAAAATTCTACTTCAATAGCGATGTGGAAAATAATTTACGTCTTGATAATGACACTGAGAAAGTTTAATAACCATTTAATTAAAATAACAGCGAAGAGTTATTAAAAAAATATTCTGAAAGTTTCAAACTAATTTCCCTTCTACCAATCATTCGTTTTCTAATGCCGGGATATACCATCTGACCAAACAATAATAATAATAATAATAATAATAAAAACTATTCGTCATGAATCCCCGTAGAATATTAATATGCAGGTGTTTTACTAGCAAATAATTAATATTTACCACTGTTCCTTAGGTCAACGTCTCTGCTTCTGTCGCTTTTGTTCATGTTTCAGTCTAATTTACCCCTCCGTGTTATTTGGTCTCGTCCAAGCGTCCAGCACGCGCTCCCACATGTTACAGCTTTACATGACGCACATGGAGAATACAGAGAGATTTATATTCTAATGTACATAGTTTATTAAGAAAATGCAGTTTTCAAAAGAAACACCATGGAGGCGATTGGAGGGCATGTCGTTTGGCTTGTACGACGCTGATGAATTAAGGTAATGAATACACTTGTACAACTAACTTGCACAGCTAGCCGGAGATCAGTTGCATGTCACTGTAAACTAAAGACACCCAAAAGTTATTAACAAAACACAGTTCATTTAACAACACATGTTGAGCTTTGTGACAACATGCCCCATATGCTGTCACGCTAAATGCTGTTTTAAAACATCAAGTTACGTTTAAGTCAAATATAAGCACAATCAAGCTCAATAATCCCTGAAAGTAGTCCACTAACGTTACTTCATAACTTTACACAGTTTTTTAACTGAACTGGTGCCACTTTTCAAATAAGGGCTCGTTTGTCGATATGTTAGTTAACATGAACTAAGAATATACTTGTACTACAGTAGTCAACATTTGAAGTGGATCAAAAAAGGTCATCAGAGTTGTCCTAAGACAAGAACGGGTATTGTTCAAAATCTCATGTAACGTTATAACTTTGATGAAAGGTTTTTGATCCATTTCAAATGTTGACTACTGTATTATATTCTATACATGTACAGCATGTATTAATTTACACTGAACAAAATTATAAACGCAACACTTTTGTTTTTGCCCCCATTTTTCATGAGCTGAACTCAGAGATCTAAGACTTTTTCGATGTACACAAAAGGCCTATTTCTCTCAAATATTGTTCACAAATCTGTCTAAATCTGTGTTAGTGAGCACTTCTCCTTTGCACACAAAAGGCCACATTTTAGAGTGGCCTTTTATTGTGGCCAGCCTAAGGCACACCTGTGCGAAAACGTTTATAATTTTGTTCAGTGTAATTAAATGTTAGTTAATTTGAACATGTACTCGTTGTCATCCTGTGAAGCTGCTTTGAAACCATCTGAGTTGTATAAAGCTCTATAGAGATTAGGGCTGTCACTTTTCGGAAAAAATCCTGTTCGACTTTTGAGACATAAGTGTTCATTGAATCGATTGTAAAATCAGTTTTCCGTGTCTAAAGACGTTTCCATTTTCAACACCAAATATCGGCAAATCCACGGACACCTAACAGGCATTAGGACGAGCGTAAAGAGGCGCTTGAGTCGCACAAGTCGCAATATTCCTGATGATTTATTGGCGTGAAGTTTCGGCACAATGACAAACAGGAGCGCAACATTCAGGGATTGAGATTAACTCCCTCGACCCGCCAGATGCGCGTACAAATGAACTGTGGCGGGAAACGCCGTCGAATCACGAGCCGATCTGGCGTTTCTGTGTTTACTCACTTTTCTGGGGAAGTTCGTGTAAGACAAATCTGTGTGGATTTAGTGCAAATACGCAACTCGTGATCCTCATGATATATTAAACACAGCGTATTGCAGAATCTGCCCATATCTGGCTTACTTGAACACACACACACACACACACACACGTCATTACACAACACATAACCGCGCGCTTGTTCACGTGCACTGAAGTAATAGTGAATATTAAAAAGCATTTGGTGAACAGAAAACACATTGTTATTTTCCAGCATCCGACATGTTCTGTGTGCTGTACTGATCTGTCCACCTAACACACATTTATGGTTAAAAATACAAAATCGATTCCCTATTTTCGTTTTTTGAAACTTGTGTTGGTTGGTCTGATCGATTGTGCAATCGATTTTTGAACGTAAAGTGACAGCCCTAATAGAGATGGAGGTAGCTTGAGTTGACATTCTGTCATCCTCTGGTGTCTCTCCCTCTCCCTCTCTCTCTCTCTCTCTCTCTCTCTCTCTCTCTCTCTCTCTCTCTCTCTCTCTCTCTCTCTCTCTCTCTCTCTGTCCCTCTCTCTCTCCCTCTCTCTCTCTCTCTCTCTCTCTCTCTCTCTCTCTCTCTCTCTCTCTCCCTCTCCCTCTCCCTCTCCCTCTCCCTCTCCCTCTCTCTCTCTCTCTCTCTCTCTCTCTCAGGAGGCTGAGTGTGAAGACGGTCACGAACCCGGAGCTGCTGGACGGTATGGGCAATGCGGCCCCGAACGGGCTGTATGATCTGGCTCTGGGCCCCGCCGACAGCAAGGAGATCTGCTCCACCTGCATGCAGGACTACGAGAGCTGTCCGGGACACCTGGGCATCGTGGAGCTGCCGCTGCCCGTCTACAACCCGCTCTTCTTCTCCGTAAGCTCTCCTCTCACGGGCTAGCTGTGCATCTGGAGCTGAAGACAGTTCTTCGTTAATCTCTCGCCCTCATGTCGTTCCAAACCCTTGAATGAAGATCTAGTTAATGAGATTTAATTGTCCCTCCATTGACAGTCTACGCAACTACCACTTTCAAGGATCAGAAAGGTAGTAAAGACGTCATTAAAGTAGGGGTGTACCGACACACTCATGTCACGATTCGACACATATCACGATACTGAACTCACGATACCATATTATCACGATACTCCAAGACATATGATAAAAGTTGAACTGTTGATTAAAATGCTAAATGTGATATTGCATTGTGTGTGTAAATGAATAGTCTTGGACTCGGTGCTGAAACCCAAAGCACAGGACAATAGAGACTCCAGAATAACAATATTCATGATTCTGAAGATGAAAACACTGAATTATTGTAGATGAATATGCTTGATCTCTGTCACTGACTAGATATATTTATAATAATGTCGGCCACTTTTACTGGTAACATCAGACATCCGGCATTATCAGCACACACACATATTCCCCCAGTGCATTATTATACATTATATTCAACATTATATATAGCAGTTTAATGTAGTACTGACACTACAACTGAACTATACACTTTACATATTGCCACGTATTGCGATATATTGTGACACCCCTACATTAAAGTTATCCATGCGACTCCAGTGCTTTAATCTCAATTTTATGAAGCGATGCGAGTGCTTTGTCTGGACAAAATACTATTCACCAGTTTATTTACAAAAAATATTAATCTCCAACACGTTCACGAGAGCAGAGGTTGTCGCGTGAACGCAGGGAAAATAATATTTAGAAAACAAGACTTCTGAAGATACTCGATCACTTTATATGATGAACAGATTTAATTAATAATGTTTCTATGTGAATAAAAGCCTAAATTAATTCTGTTCATCATATAAAGTGACCGAGTCTCTTCAGAAGTCTGATTAAGCTGCTCGATTCATAATATGGGTTTATTTTAAAATCGTTTTATGAATATTTTGGGTGTCTTCGGAGGGACAGAAATCTTTGAGATCTGATTAAAAGATCTTCATTTGTGTTTCAAAGATTAGTCAAAGTCTGATGAGTTTGGAACGACAAAATAAAGACAGGAGTAACACTTTTGGGTGAACTGTCCCTTTAAAAACAAAGCAATTGAATTGTAATGAGATCATGATCCTGTCTGATGTAAAAGTGTTGGGTAAAACTTTATTTCAATGGTTAACTCTAGACATATTCTACTGACTGTACGCGAATCTGCCGTTCAAAAGTGTTGGATCTGTAAGATTTTTAATGTTTTTTAAAGAAGGCTCTTATGCTCACCAAGGCTGCATTTATTTGATTAAAAAACATTCATATTTTGAAATATTATTCCAATGTAAATCAGCTGTGTTCTATGTGAATATACAGTAAAGTGTAATTTATTCCTGTGGTTTTCAGCATCATTACTCCAGTCTTCAGTGTCACATGATCCTTCAGAAATCACTCTAATATGAGGATCTGATGCTCAAGAAACATTTATGATTATTATCAGTGTTGGAAACAGTTATGTAAAAATTAAAAAAAAAAATCAGGATTGTTTGATGAATAGAAAGCTCAAAAGAACAGTGTTTATCTGAAATAGAAAGCTTTTGTAACATTAAACTCTACCGTTAACAAGTTTGGGGTCAGTGAGATTTTTTTGGGGAAAAGAAATGAAAGAAATCAATACTTTTATTCATCAAGGATGCATTAAATTGATCAAAAGTGATAGTAAAGACATTTATAATGTTACAAAAGATTCTATTTCAGATAAATGCTGTTCTTTTAAACTTTCTATTCATTAAAGAATCCTGAAAAATCCTGTTTTCAACATTGATAATAATCATAAATGTTTCTTGAGCATCAGATCATCATATTAGAGTGATTTCTGAAGGATGACACTGAAGACTGGAGTAATGATGCTGAAAACCACAGGAATAAATTACACTTTACTATATATTCACATAGAACACAGCTGATTTACATTGGAATAATATTTCACAATATTACTGTGTTTTAATCAAATAAGTGCAGCCTTGGTGAGCAGAAGAGCCTTCTTTTAAAAACATTACTTATTCCAGCCCTAGCCTCTCAGTCTGCTAATGCTCCATTGAGAGTGATTTGACATTAGTTGCTTGTAGTCAGCGAATGTCTGAAGTGTGTCGTATTTGTGCCGTCCTGATCGCCGTCTC